AGAACGCGGTGCTCTTCTCTGCATTTGTTGTCCGGATTCGTGAATATTTTTATCATCGAAACCAAAAAAAAAAAATCACTCTCGTCATCAGCGACCTCGTAAATTGCTTCTTCTTCTACTTCCTTTTCAGGCTCTTGAACCGCCTCTTCACTTTGGTTCGGGACCAGGATCACTACACTTTCATCTTCTTCACACACCTCAGCTGGGACTTCTAGGTTCTCCCGATCTGCGACTTGCTGCTCTGAGCCGTTATCAAGCTCGATGAACTGCGCGTCACGGCTAATGGTGATCCGGCCAGTCTCGCGATTTGAGATCAAACTCCTTACGCTTGCAATCTGGAACATGGACATACGCGGAGCACCCGAAAACTCGAATACGGGTCAAGTCCGGTTTCGTCCCTGTCCACATCTCGTACGGTGTACGATCTACGACACGAGTAGGCAGTCTGTTCTGAATATATGTCGCTTTCAGTACTGCCTCTCCCCAATAACATTTAAGCAGACCTGCATCGAGCAGCATGCAGTTAGCCATCTCCTGAAGCGCTCGGTTCTTGCGCTCCGCTACCCCATTTTATTGCGGAGAGTAGGGAACCGTTAATTGCACCTCGATGCCTTCGACTTTATAAAATTCCTGCAAATCGTTACTACTATACTCACCTCCGCCATCAGATCGAATGATGCGGGGCTTCTGTCCGAACTCGTTTTCCGCGAACCGTACGTATTCTTGGATCTTCCCTGTTGCCTCGTCCTTGGACTTTAGGAGAAAGACCACACAGAATCGACTGAAATCATCGATCATGGTCATTAGGTACTTGTTGCCGCTCGGCGTTTGATTCTCCACAAAGGTCCGTGTGGATCAGGTCCAAAGGCTGCTTCGACTTGCGTTCAGTCACCGCTGGGAAAGGATAACGAGCCAATTTTACCTTCAGGCAACATTCGCACACAATCTGCTCACCGCAATCCTTGACCTCTAGTCCACTAGCCAGATCCTTCGCCTTGATCAAACCTATGACGTCCGCATCTCAATGACCAATCCTTATATGCCTGGTGTGCTGGTACAACACGTTGTGATTTCCGGTCACCGCTAGCATACACTGTTCGGCCATTTTCAATTCATACTGGTTGCCGACGGTTTCACCTACTACCACTACACCGCCATCCGGAAATTTCACTTCACAGCGATCCACTTCGAAGACCACTGCTTCCGAACCGATATCAGCCCTCCTTCCAGCGAAGGGACGTACAGTACATTCTCCAGAGTGATAGCAATCCGGTTTCCATCGCCGTTGATACCGAACAATACGCCATTACCGCATCCAGCAGACATCGTTTTTGTTCCATACGCCAGGGTCACTGCGGTTGTTTGTCATATGACAAGTGCACAGTCCACTCTCCAGGAATAACTCCTCCTGTGACGAAGTACACAGCCCCCAAAACAGCACTCTGTTTCTCAGCATCCCGCTGCTCCGGTGCCGGTTGTGTTTGCACCTGCTTCGCTTGCTGATCTGGACTTGCCTTCTGACTTGACTGACTTGGACCCTGTTCCTTCTTCGTCGCTAGAAACTTCCGGCAGTTCATCCTCAAATGACCCGGCATATTGCAGTAGAATCACTTCCTGGTATCGCTTTTGGGCTTCACTTCCGTCTTCATGGCCTTTTCCATCTTGACACTGCTCCCATACTGCATTTCTCGCTTTTGGCACTCATCCCGAAGTCTCGCCAGCACTAGGTCAATCGTCAAATCCTCCTGAGGCCGGTTTTCCAACGAAGTAACAAAGCTGTGATACGACGATGGCAAACTCCGAAGCATCATAATTATCTTCAGTAGCTCGCTAAGCTCCACACCAGCGTTTTCCAGACGTTCAAAAAGATCCTCCATCTCCTCGATGTGCTTCGCGACGTCTCCTCCTTCGCTGAGATTCAACGAGCAAAGTTGCTGCAACAGTAGAGCCTATGATTTCCAATCGTCGCCTTTTCGTGGTACGATTTGAGGTTATACCACATCTCACGAGCAGTTTTTGCCTTCTTGACGAAGCGCAACTGACTATCCTCTACGAACAGAGTAATTGTTGTACGGGCCTTCCGATCATCCTTGATCCACTGCTGCAGCTCAGCATCGACTTCTTCCGGTTTGGGTTTGTCAATGACATCCCAAACCTCTTTACGCTCCAACATCGTCATCATCCTGTACTGCAATAGCCGTCAAAGCAAGGATGCATCGCGAAATAACGAACAAACTTCAACGATGCCTTAACGCCTTTGCTGATTATGCCACCACGTGGAAAATTAAAATCAATGCCTCCAAAACACAAACAATCATGTTCCTCCATCGGTAATCGCCCAAACTAAAACCGGTTCCATCTTGTACCGTAATCGTGGGTGGCACAAGGGTTGAGTGGTGTTGTTCGATGAAAAACTCCTCTTACGTTCGCATGTAGAGAAAATAGTACTCAAGTGTTCTGGCTTGGTTAGGTGTCTGTATTCGCTGATTTGCCGCAGATCCCGTCTCTCAAGTGTGAACAAACTGGCTGTCTACAAACAAATCATAGCACCTGCGATCCTCTACGCAGCTCCTGTGTGGGAAACATGTGCACAGACTCAAAGGAACAAAATCAAGGTCACTCAGAATAGAATGATGAGGATGGTACTTGATCATCCTTCCGACACTAGAATAGCAAATTTACACGAAGAGGCAGGCATTGCCAAAATAGATTCCAAAATTAACGAAATTAACACTAAATTTGCACAAAAATGTAATATATCAGAACATGCTTTGATAAGAAATTTGTATATAGTAGATTAGGAGTATATAGTAGTTGTAGGTTAGTTGTAGTTGTAAATAGTAGTTATAAGTAGTTCCTTTTTTCAATTTAAAACAAACCAATCCCACCAAGATGGTCATTCTCTAAAACAGGCCTGATAGGACTGGGAACTGTAATTAATAATTAAAATCTCACATGTACTAAAGTTGAAAAGACGCATCTGTGTCACTTTAAAATTCATACATGTAAACCACACAAATTCAAGAAATATAGATCATTTAAAACCGCGCGAAAAAATATATATATTTATGACATCTAATAATTTCCTAATTCCGAAAAACGTTTTTAAGAGCCAAATGAATGGACGCAACCTTGGCTTCTTACTCAGTTTAAAAATCTTGAATGACGGATCTCTCTAGTGAGTAGCTTGACTATAGTCGAGAAAAGACACTACAGAAAATGGTTTGCGACGAACAATATCAAATCCATGCCACCGCTTCCATTTATCTAGATAACAACCCATACTAACATTTTAGTTCTAATATCACCAGCTCCCACACAACGTCATGCCTGTGCACTAGGGTGGGTCAACTCAACATCCCCCTACTCGTATAGTCGCTATATTTATAGCCTGGCAGATAGAATATCGCGAATTAATTTAGCTGTCAAATAGCGGAACCAATCAAGCATACCACGACCAACAAAAAAGTCTACAAATTGAATTGGTTCCGTTTTTCTATAGATCGAAATTCTATTCACCAGGCAGCTACTCTGCCTATAATCCCATATCAGTCCTACATGGAAAAAGTAGGCATTGAGAAAATGAATGGCAGTTGAAGTTAAGCGCAGTTTCCATGATAATATTTAAAAAATCATAGTAAATTAATCGATAATTTTGTCAAGTAAAAATCAGTTGCAATGCAGCTTGCATGGTTTGTTATATCAGCGAAAAATATTGCGATTCAAAAATTAGAACAGTAACTTGATCTCTAAGCGATTGAATTTCAGGATGGGAATGTTATGCGATTAATTTGCTTGATGGAACAAACTGACTTCATGTTATTTTCACACTTTCATGATTAAAGTCCATAGTTTTATTACAAACAAACAGACATAACACATTGAATATATTTACTGCAAAACATCGTCGCTAAAACATTACCGCCATCTGTTGAGTACACTGGGGTGGGCTGTACGCTGAACAGATGGCGGTAGTGTGTAAACGTCAAACGCAAGGGAATTGATTATGCGGGCTACAGTTGGTGGTACTACCAACTACGATACTAAATACTTAAAATTAAAGAGCCTGAATTTATAAAGAGACGACACCTTATCCATTTTACAGGTCTTCTGCTCGATTGGAATGACTTTTCCTATGACTTTGACAGACAATCGATTGTTCCAATTTTGACAAGTCGCCTCTTTATAAATTTAGGCTCTTTACTTAAAATGACCTTAAATGCTTGTTCGAGTGTTATATCTGTGTGTCTGTTGTTTTATTACGTAATATGAAAGTAGATGCCAATAAATAGTGGATAGCGGTATTATCTGAAAATTGACGAAAATCCATATGATATGCGATTGTAAACTGTATACAGGTGTTAATAATAGGTGGTGTATGTAAACATGTATGTAGGTGTGGAGGACGAAAGTAAAAAAATAATATCTTCTTGCACCGAAGTTGAGTCTTGGACTTTTTCCAAACTTAATCTCAAGTTTGGTCGAAATTAAAAAAAAATAACAGGCAAATGAATAGATTCTTCTTCGATCATCCCGCAAAACTAGCTCGTAACCAAATTCGTTCAAATTTGGGGACCTAAATACAGATCAAAAGAGCAGTAGGAAACAGGCGGTGATAATCCGCCCTACAAACTTGACCCACCCTACTGTAAACATAGTCAGTTTACTTGCTTAGTCCATCCGCAAGTAGTAACCGACAACGACAAGGCAGCTAGCCGGCGAGAGCGCGTTCAACCAACGTCTCAGTCCCGTTTGTTCCATCCAGCCGTACAGAGCCAGCAACGACTCTCCCCCTTGACAACCCCGACAATCGTTGGTCGCCTGGAAGCGTCACTCCCGCGACAATTGGGCATCGTATTTCGTTGTCACCATTCATACATAGCGACGACGACGACGACGTCGCCGCATAAATTGATCCAATTTCGCCGAGTTAATCAATTTAGAGAGATTCACCGCCCAAAACGTGATTTCGGTCGTACAGATTGGCAAAAACAGTTCTAACCGCAAACATGTTGCTAACGAAACAGTTGATCTGCAGAAATGCATTCACGGCAGGTAAGTGCATCGCCCCGATTCAAATGTGATATGCACAGCCGGTTTTCTCTAGTACGAATAGCCGGTGCAAGGATGCAGACGGGAAACCGGTTGAGCGAAATTAGCATAGGATGCATTTTTGCATCGAACGAATTAATGAAAACAGAAAGTTAGCACACGTGAAACTGTGGTCAGATGAATTGATTCTCAGTCTTTGGATGGAAACGCGTGGTTGTGTGTGAGATACGAACAAAGTCATTTTCGTGGAAGGGGCTTGCTTTCAAAAATAGTCCCAAAATGAGAAAATTCATATACCTTTGCGAAGAACATAGGGGAAAACAGTCCAAAATGCAACCCTGAGGTGAAATGACCCGATGTGGTTTTCATCGCTATCCCCAAATTACTTCTGGGACTTAATGTGAACAAATGATACTAGTTTGGGAACAGAAATGCTCGTTTAAGTGATGTTCGTTCAATTCACGAATTGAGAATGGGAAAGCCTCGAAAGACCACGTCAGTCCATTTGAACCCAGCAGTGCATTTTGGACTGTCTTCCTCCTCACTATGATGAGAGTAGCAAACAACGATGATGATTGGCATCTTCAAGGTCAGGGAAAATGTGCGTCATTTGCATGTGGTTAGTGACTTTTTTTTTTTGTTTCAGAGGAACGGTAAAACTGTCGCTTTTCAAAGATCAGTAACTCTCAATGTGCATTAGTGTGGTTCCTAAAATGGATTTTGCTCTATCGATCGATTCAAAATCAGGAGAGCAGTTCCTGCCCAAAATGCTGTAACCGTTGAGTTAGCCCATGCTTTTAATTTGTGCATGATGTTTTTGAAACTGTAGTTTTTATTAGATTAAGTGTTTGTCAGTAGGGTTAAATTTCGGTTATTCAAAATTGTTTTTAATAAGCAGGGGTTGTCAGAAATGAGTGTAATTATTGTAAAATTTGAATGGGCAAGGCATCTAATGGGTGGTGAAAAAAAAATCAACTGTGGTAGGAAAATGGAAGGAGGAAGATCGAGCATAGATATGTAGAAAAATTGAGTTAGGAATGTATTGGATATTGGAATAGGAGAGAAGTAAAGGCTATTAGGAGATCGCCATGACCACTTTATAAACGGCATTCATGTGAGAGACAAGTGAGTGATAAATTTGGAAGTAAATCTACTGTAGTGTCTAGAATAGTGTGCCAATTTGGACTTCTACCATTCTACTATACTACATAATAATCGCATATCAGTCCCATCTTTGCTTGATGTCCTATCCATATGGGACTGATATGCGATTATGGGCAGTATACTACTTCATTCAGGTAAACGGAACTCGAGTTATGCTCCATTAACAAGTACAACTTACACTCCTGATTAATTCAAGAGGACCTTTTGTACTGCTGTACTTTTGTACATTGTTTGTACCTTTGTGCTCAATACTCGCTTCCAATCGAGTCGGCGTAATAGCCTAATAGTCAAGGACCTCCTCTGTGTTTACCTTTCAAACACTGTTTAGGAGATAACCCTCTCCTCGGGCATTGAGCCCTAATCGTCGAAGAGATGAGAACCCTTCTCGGCGTGGCCAATACGGTATCGTCCGTGGTCCGTCGATTGCGTCAAAGACGGGAGGTGCCGATAGCCACGTGCCCCACCATTGAGTCCAACAACCAGTAATCCGTCATTGCAAAAATTCAAACCAAGCCATCAATAGTCATAGTCAAGATCACCGAAACACCATCGCGGTCATCACCATCCGCGAGCGCTTGTCGTAGTTCCGTTGTACCAGAACAAGTGACCATTCAACCACCGACGAACCGACATGCCACTGAAGCATTTCGTTTGTCCGTAATTCGATTTGTTAAATGATCGATTCAATCTGGCAAACGGGTGATCAGATCTGTCAAACGAGGTGAGACGCAAGACCAAGTCAATATAAATTTTACGTGTGTTCGTAATCACGATATGACGCGGTCGGATGAGTAGATGGCGGTAGTGTTTAACGTATTTTAAATATGGCGTCTTGGGCAAGAATTTGAATGTAGCTTCCATCAGCTGGCATGTCGGTTCGTCGGTGATTCCACCACACCAATAGCCCAAACAAAACTTATTTTACACCAACACAGTAATTTGAATAAATTTCCTTTCTCATCAAACACTATCTACATTTTCAATATCCCGAATCTAAGCAATTCCACAGTTTCCGCACAACTCTTTCCGCGTGCCCCTCAGAATTACCCAGTAGCATGCCCGCCCTGTGACTCAGTTCAGGGGTCTCGTGCTGCTGAGCTAGTCGAGCCAGAGTAGGGGAACTAGGGGCAAGAAGGTCACCCGGGGCAAAAGTGCCACCCTTGAATTTCCCTGTAAAAATATGAAATATAGATTTATGAATGTGCTCTAGGGCTTCTTTAGAATCTATTGATAATTGAAATATTCTTCAATTGAAAATCACAAATTCTATACTAAAACGTTGATTTATGCGAGGGGGGCGGCACATCTAAATCTCAATTCTAGATGCTCAAAATATCTCACACTAGCGAATCAATCTTCGAAAAATCATCTTTAATTTCTCGCATCTACTTGCATCGTGCTTCATCTTTTTGCAAGAAATCTTCAAAATCGTGATAAATCTTCTTTCTATCTACTCAGCGTACGCGCAGCTAGCCACAGCAAAACACAATATTTCCTGCATCGTAGATAGAGTCGTCCCCCTCGGATTTATGTTATGCTTCTCGGATTTGGTTAAAAATTATTAGCATAAACCTCCGTCAACAACATCATATTTGTTGTCCCTTATTTGCGATAATGTGTCGCTAAATAAATTTGTGTACAGCTGGGGCAAAAAGGACCCCTCTATATGGGGCACAAAAGCCACTCATTTAGTTGAACATAACCTCATAAGCAACTGTCAAATTACAATGTTGTTGTTATTATTTCGGTCATAATCGGTTGTTATTATGGTGCGTAAATATAAAAAGATTTCAACGCGAAATCGGTGGTCATCCGTGAATATGACCGCGGCAATAAAAGCGGTCATCGAATCCGGCATGGCAGTTAAGCGATCAGCCTTCGAATATGGTGTGCCTCGCCGGACATTGAAGAACTATTTGAAGCATCCTGATAGGAACGTTGATGCTCGGCGGTTGGGTCGTTTTGATACGGTTTTTACTACGGAGCAGGAAGATGAACTTGTGCAACATACCCTGAGCATGGAACAACGATTCTTTGGACTGTCCACTCGTGATATCCGGAGCTTAGCCTTCCAGTTGGCCACGAAAAATTGTATTCAACATCCATTTAATACTGAATCTCAATTGGCCGGTGAAGATTTGTTGCAACGGTTTCGTCAACGCCACCAAGAACTTTCACTTCGTACTCCTGAAGCAACGTCCGCGGCCCGAGCTGCAGGATTCAATCGTGTGGCTGTCTCAAGATTCTACGATATTCTTGAATCCTCCTACGGAGCTGGACATTTTCCAGCGAGTCACGTGTATAATGTAGACGAAACATCGATAGTAACGGTAAGTTGAGCGGAAGTTATTAAGACCCAAAACTAATTACTTGCAAAACTTTTATAGGTGCAAACCAGGAAATCAAAAGTACTTGCTTTAAGGGGCAGACGGCAAATTGGATGTATGACATCAGCGGAGAGAGGGGTGTTAACGACTGCTTGTGTATGTATGTCAGCTACTGGGCATTACATACCCCCTATGCTGATATTCCCACGGGCACGTTTGACGGAGTCACTGAAGACAGGAGCCCCACCAGAAAGCCTCTTCAGTTGCAACGGAAGTGGCTGGATGATGATGCTAGACTTTAACCTGTGGTTCGACCACTTTTTGACACGCCAGGCCTACTGCTACAAATCCAGTATTGATTATCCTTGATGGACACGTTACACATACTAATAGCGAATTCGTTTATTATCGGGGTTGGAACCAGGTCCAACCCAGTGCGAAACCGATCTTTTTGTCAGTGCGAACCTCAACCTGAGCTGGGTTTTAAAAACAAACGATCAAACTGACGTTTGTCAGAAAACAAGCAGACCCAATCTTGATACCCGATCCAGGTTGGAACTGAATAATAAACGAATTCGCTATAAGAACATAGCATTCCTTGAAAAATCACAAAAACATCATGTGACAGTGATAAGTTTGCCACCGCATTGCAGTCATCGAATGCGGCCACTCGATGTAAGCTTCATGGCACCTTTGAAAGCATTCTTCTCCATGGCAATTGAAGCTTTCCTCCGACACAATTCTGGAAAGGTTGTTACCATCAACGACGTTGGCGGTCTCTTCGGACAAGCTTATCTGCAAGCAACATCCGCTTCTGTTGCAATCAATGGATTCAGGAAAACTGGAATTTTTCCCTTCAACCGATTTGTATTCAGCGAGGCAGATTTTGCGCCGTCTGATGTGACAGACTCCCCGGCGTCAACATCAATTCAGCGTCCGGACCAAGCCTTGCATCAAACCAATGTTTCCTGTTTCACCGAGGACGACAATGAGGACGCCTTCTACGGATTTGATGAATCGACCCTCCACGACAAACCAACCTTCCCGAACCTTGAAGCTGATACCGGTGAACCTATGCCTAACCCCAGTCAGTTTACTGCGAATATATCATCCACAGGAAGTACGTTTGATGTTACTCCTGAAGCTATTCTACCTTTGCCCAAGGTAAACACTAAGAGAAGCGCTAGGGAAACAAAGCGTGGAAAAGCAGCCGAATTAACATCAAGCCCCTATCAGAGAAATCTGAAAGAAGCTCAGGCTTCCAAGGACATACAACATCTAAGGAAGTTGGAACGCAAATCCAAAGCTACTCCGAAACATTCAAGAAAGCAAAAAGTTGCTGATAAGAGTTCATTGCAAGATACATTATGCGATAGCTGTGGGATGAGTTTCAGCAAGTCAGAAGACGGAACAGGTTCGAGTAAGTATGGACACTGTAATTTGTGGTTCCATACATGTTCACGAAACGAGTGTCCTTTATGCGAGGCTTGATTACAACTCACACTGGGTTAT